TAATAACTAGATTGAAATGTTTGAAAGACAAATTTTTGCTGTCTTGTCTTAAAGTCTTGTTTAAAAAACGTAAATGGTTTGGTCAGTTAGATGTTCTAGATGTTTGCTAAAGTGTTGCTAGTTGGTTGCTAGGATATTCTGGGTGGTTGCTAGGCTCTTGCTATGCAGTTGCTGGGGTGTTGCTAGAGTATGTGGTTGATAGAGTTTGTTCTGGGTGATTACAGACATTCCCACCTCTGTTAATAACAGAAAATCAAATAGTTTCAGTGCTTTAATATTATTGTATTTCTTTCTGATGTTAGGAAATTCAAAAGTTTGTGTTGCTCTTAAACTTGCACTAAACGCGATTATACCATCTAAGTAGCCTATGTAATTTTAATAGAACCGCATGTCTTCTTTAGTGATACAAGCTCAGAAATGTTTATAACCTGTTGAAGTTTTTTTATATTGTGTATTGACTTGCCATGATGGATATTGAAATGTTGTTATTTATTTTTAATTTTAAACAGTATAGAAGATTACTTAATGGTAATACAATATTTGTAAACACAACTGTGTATGTCAGACCATAAATCCCCAAAAAACTATGCATGGGGGCTTGCTTTGGTGTTGCCACCCCTCATAGACCCCATGCCACCCCTTTGCCACCCTAAAAATTATTTTCTAGATCCGCCCCTGCTCAGGCATGACCGATCGCAGAAGCACCAATAACACCACGTCTGCCAACCATGGCAGACCAATCGCTGCAGCAATCAGGGAGTCTCTCCGCCTCCCTGTATATAAACCGCAGCTACCTGCCGTTTCGTCATTCTCCACATATCTCTTCTCCGTGTAGGACAGGCAAGGAGGGCAATGTTTGTGAGATACCTCACTTCATGTTATTAGAGAACCGGGGTTACGTCAGTAACCTAACGTTCTCTTTCTAACATTAGTTAGATGGTATGGGATGGTAGTTAGTTAGCCATAAAGAGGCGGATCTCACTATGGGATATGGACTCTAGAAACTCCCGTATTGCCGATATGCTGACAAAGCAGACTAAAGAATGAGTGGGTTATTATCTGAATCATAGCTCCCGACGGGGGTTAAAACAGAATAATATGCAGAATTCGATCCTTAATGAGACTGCATTATACAACCTGACTACTCACTCCCAGGACTGAGTGAGCCAGAGAGGGTTCTGTCACATCCAGTCTATAGAAACGAGCAAATGTGTGCGGAGAAGACCAGCTGGCTGCCGCGCGAATTTCTTGACTAGAAATGCCTCTAAACAGAGCCCAGGATGTAGCCATACCTCTAGTAGAGTGTGCTCGTAGTCCTATTGAGGGCTATATATTCGCATTATTGTAACATAACACGATAGCCTCCACCACCCAGTGCGAAAGGAGCTGGCGGGAGATAGGTTTTCCTTTGTAAGAGTCAGCCCACGAGATAAATAGCTGATTGCTCTTACGAAGCGTGTGGGTTCTCTGAACATACGTATACAGAGTACGAACCGGACATAAACTGTGTAACCTCTCCTCCTCTGGGGATGAAAAAGGTGGTGGATGAAAAGCTAGCAGGTCCACTGATTGAACTGCACCAGCATGATCAAACACTTTAGGCACAAACGCCGGGTTCTAAAAGTTACTTTTTGGAGCGAACGTCATACATGAGGAGTGAACTGAGAAAGCATGTAGTTCACTCACCTTTTTTGCTGTAGTGAGAGCAAGTAACAGAGCCGTCTTAAAAGTGTGCAGCTTCAAGCCAATGTTATCAATGGGCTCGAAAGGGGCTTTTGAGAGCGCGTTCAGAACCACGGACAAATCCCAAGGCGGGACCAGCGGCTTCGATACTGGATGTAGCATACGTGCCCCTCTCATAAATCGACAGACGAGAGGGTGTTGGCCAATAGTACCCGAGTTAAGACCAACATGACATGCCGAGATAGCGGACAGGTAAACCTTAACTGTAGAAAAGGCTCAGCCCTTATCCAGAAGGTCCTGTAGGAAGCACAGCACATCCGAAACTGAACACAAGAAAGGAATGTTTCTATCTGCTCACCATCCCTCAAACACCCTCCATTTGAGATTATATAAAGAATGTGTCGAGGCAGCCCTCGCGTTCTGAATTGTCTCTATCACTTTCGGAGGTAACCCAGCTGCATTCAGATTTAGCCTCTCACGGGCCAGGCCCAGAGAGCTAGTTTCTGAGGGGAGGGGTGAAAAATTTCCCCCCGTGCTTGTGAGAGGAGATCCCTGAGGGGAGGGGTGAAATATTTTTTCTTGTGAGAGGAGATCCCTGCGTGCTGGTAACGGCCATGGCTGGAGAACAGTTGCGCAATCTCCGCAACCCACAGTCTCCCCGGCCAGTATGGCGTGATCAGAATCATTACATGTTTGCATTCCCGAACCCGCCATAGTGTCGGCTCGATCAGGCTCAACGGAGGGAACGCGTAAAGTAACACGTCTAGCCACTCGTGCGCTAGAGCATCCACACCCAACGGTGCATCGTCGCCGGCCAGAGAGAAGAACAGGGGACATTGCGCGTCTTTGTGTAATGCGAAGAGATCTACGGCAGCCCGGCCGAATCTCTGCCACACCATGAGGATCACTTGGGGGTGGAGTCTCCACTCCCCGTACAGAGGATTCCCTCTGGACAGTAAATCTGCTCCCCTGTTCATTATTCCTGGAACATGTGTCGCGCATAATGACAGGAGGGTCCTGCTGCTCCACATAATCAGTTATTTCGCTAACAAGTGAAGCTTGTGAGAACGTACTCCTCCCTGCCGATTTATGTAGGCCATCACCGTTGTATTGTCCGTCCTGACCAATACATGATGATTCTTGAGAAAATGCACAAAATGTCTCAGAGCTAGTAACACTATCAGTAGTTTTAGAAAATGTATGTGCTTCTCTCTGTCAAGTCAAGTCACCTTTATTTATTTAGCGCTTTTAACAATACAGATTGTGTCAAAGCAACTGTACAGCATTAATTAGGAAAATATTGTGTCAATAATGCAAAATGATAATAGTAAACACTCAATTTTCAGTTAAAGGCAGTTCATCATTGAATTCAGTAATGTCATCATCCAGCTCAGTTCAGTTTAAATAGTGTCTGTGCAATCAAGTCGACGATATCGCTGGAAATTAAGTGTCCCCAACTAAGCAAGCCAGAGGCGAGGTGACAGCGGCAAGGAACCAAAACTCCATTGGTGTCAGAATGGAGACAAAAACCTTGGGAGAAACCAGGCTCAGTCGGGGGGCCAGTTCTCCTCTGACCAGATGAAACCAGCAGTTCAATTCCAGGCTGCAGCAATGTCTTGTCCCGGTGGCAGTCTAGGAGACAAGGTTCTCACTGGGGATCTGTCTTTGTGGCTCATCTAGTTGTCCTGGTCTCCGCTGACATTCAGGGCTGTAGAAGTCCTCTCTAGGTGCTGATCCACCATCAGGGCTGGATACGAACTGGATCCGGGTGACTGCAGTGACCATCTGATCTGGATACTGACTGCATCTGGTGGTTACGGTGACCTCGGAATAAGAAAGAAACAGACTAATATTAGCGTAGATGCCATTCTTCTAACGATGTTGCAAGTACATTGGGTGTTATGGAAAGTGTTCCCGGTTCCGATTGTCCTAATTAATGCAACCTAAAAATCCTTTAACGGATTTGAATATTAGAAATGTGTTTATCGATCTTGGAAGTAAAGTAGTTCATAAAGTCATTACTGCTGTGCTGTTGGGAAATGTCAACACTTGTTGATGCTTTATTTTTCGTTAATTTAGCCACTGTATTGAATAAATACCTGAGGTTATGTTTGTTTTCTTCTAAAAGAGACGAAAAGTAATCAGATCTAGCAGTTTTTAATGCTTTTCTGTAGGATAGGGTACTTTCCCGCCAAGCAATACGAAATACCTCTAGTTTTGTTTTCCTCCAGCTGCGCTCCATTTTCCGGGCTGCTCTCTTTAGGGTGAGAGTGTGCTCATTATACCACGGTGTCAAACTGTTTTCCTTAATCTTGCTTAAGAGTAAAGGAGCAACCGTATCTAAAATGCTAGAAAAGAGAGAGTCCATAGTTTCTGTTACATCATTAAGTTGTTCTGAGGTATTGGATATGCTAAGGAACTGAGATAAATCAGGATGATTTCTTACAAAGCAGTCTTTTGTGGTAGAAGTAATGGTTCTACCATACTTGTAACAAGGAATAGAATTTACAGTTTTAGCTATATGAAGTTTGCACAAGACTAGTTAATGATCTGAGATATCATCGCTTGGCTGTATAATTTCAACACCATCGACATCAATTCCTCTCAGTGCAGGAGACCAAACTCCTCTCACTGTTCTGCCCTCGAACACCGCCCCCAGCCCGTGAGAGATGCATCTGTCGTCACCACTTTCCTCAATACAATAGGACCCAGAGGGCATCCTGTCCTCAGAAAAGACGGGGCTTTCCAATGACGGAGAGCGCTCATGCATTCTGGTGAGACGGACACTCTGTGGCTGAGACGGCTCTTGGGGCGAATTCCCTGTGACGCTGTCCAGTTCTGAAAATCCCTCATTCGCAGCAGTCCCAGGGGAACCACTGACACTGTTGAGTCCATCAGACCCAGTAGCCAAAGACACATTCTGAAAGAGACTGATCTCTCTCGTTGAAAAAGGGAGAGGCAGCTGTGAAATGTCTTGATGCCTTCCTCTGATAGGAAAGCTCGAAACATCACTGAATTCAACCTGAGACACAAGTAGACTATTTCCTGTGAAGGAGTTAGCCAACTCTTCGTCTGGTTTATCTTGAAACTTAATCTTTCCATATGCGTCACTAGTGTGTACGTATCGCTCTCTGCTTGCCTTGGGGATGGCGCGCAGATGAGCAGATCGTCCAGATATGATGAAACTCTGACTCCTCCGTTCCTTAACGGCGTCAGAGCCACTTCCACACATTTGCTGAAAACCCTGGGAGCTAAAGCAAGGCCAAAGGGGATTTTCGTATACTCGTATGCTGTGCCCTGATAAGCGAACCTCCGATATTTCCTGTGAGCAGGAAAAATATCTATGTGAAAATATGCGTCCTGGAGGTCCACTGAGGTTAACCAATCTCCCTGACGAATACTTTGACACAAAGTTCTGAGCGAAAGCATTTTGAATTTGTATTTTCTGAGGTGTTTGTTGAGGACACGTAAATCCAAAATGGGACGGAGACCTCCCCCTCTTTTGGGAATCACAAAATAACGGGAGTAGAAGCCTATGTGGCTTTCTTTCGTTGGAATAACTCTTATCACTCCTTTTCTCTATAAAGAGGATATTTCTTACTTTAAAACCTGAGCTGCTTCCCCTTGGGCCACTGAAATTACCACTCCATTGAACACAAGAGGTTTTACAGCGAATTTTATTCTGTATCCCCTGTCTATCGTGGTTAAAACCCAGGGATGAACTGCGCATGCGCGCCAGTTCGCCGCCTGAGCTGTGAGTGGGCCCTTCCCGTCTTCACTCACTAGCGGTATTGCAGCACACTCTAGTGGTGAAGGAGGGGAATACCGCTCCAGTGAAGGAGTTATATTCGTCTTTATTTGTGATTGTTTTAATCTTTTGTGATATTTTTTTATTTTTATCCCACTCTGCGCCCTCAGCCCCTGGCCTGGATGCATCAGAAAAAACTTTATTTGTGATGGGATGCTTATGAACTTTTGTCCTTCCTCCCTCAGAACAAACCTCGTAGGTGGAGGGAGAGACAATTCTTTGGGGGGCTCCAGAAGAACATGGGCCATTTTGCTGCGCACATTGGACTTTGAACTGTCCACACAAACCCATTTCACATTTAAATTCCTTCTTTTCCCCACGGGAGGGAGAAAGGAATCGTTTTGAAGGGATGGGACAGAGAAACCCTGAGTGCTGTCTCCAAACCCTTCCTGATGCCAAACTGAATTCTCAGGTCGACCGCCTCTTTTTGTTCCCCTGAGGGGTGGCCGACCGGTGTTTCGCTGCTGCCGCTGCGAAAGACTGTTTCGGTTTCACGAAACCGGGCTTTGACTGAAGGCCCGCGTTTCCCGGCTGTTGTGGTGGAGCAGGACGGGATGGTTGATAGTCAGAATGTCCCCCTCTCCCTGAAGAACTGAAATTCAGTCGGCTCGGATGATAAGGCCGAGCTGCCGGCTTTCTGGGGAGACAGACCTCGAATGCCTCTCCCTCTTTTTTCCGCAGGTCACATTGCTGACACATTGCTGTTACTGTCACCCCTTTGGATCAATAGGGGCATCCAAAAACTCCCAGCCATAGCAGTCTCTCTCCCACAACCGCTAAGCCCATACTCCTACCGCAACTTTGAACTGCTCCGCGGGACGTGCGCAGGTTTAAATCTGCCATGACACATATCTCCTCCCAGAGCGCTGGGTTGGGAGATCCGGAGTCCTGCTTACGCCCCATCTCCTCTAATAACTCCACTTGATAGGCTGTAAGGAGGGACGTCGCGTTCAAAGCACAAACGGCCACTGCAGATGACTTATAGATCTTTTGAAAAACAGAGGCGGAAAAGTGCTCTGTTTTCCCTGGCAGCGAGGCTCCAGTTGAAGAGAGCGCTGCCCTGCGACTTGGGTGCAAATGATTCACCACAGATGATTCTACAGGGGGAGGAATCCGCCATCCCCAAATCCTCCATTCCCTGAACATCCAGCCTCGAGAAGCCCTTGACAGGTACATGGTGGGAAAAAGGCCTGTCCCAAAACCTCTTCATTTCAGTTACACAGGCCGGGACGGCTGGAATAAACAGCCTCGCTGGAGGGAGACGTGATGGAAGTCTCTTTCCATCGTACAGGTCTCTTTCAGCCCCTTGACCTGCCGGTTGGGATGGCCAGTCGATCGACAGTCTAGCCACGAACCTGCGACAGACCTCGAGTAGATCCGTGTCCATCTGTACAGTGGAGGGTGAACTCTCATCCTGTGCATTCGGCGGACGCGACTGATTCGGGGGAAGAATATCATCTTCATCAACGTCATCCTCGTCCTCGAGGATGGTCGACAACACTTCATCATTATCATCTTCTTCTCCCGCTAACAGATCTTCAAACAGCGGGCGAAGGACGGGTGGCACCCTCTCCATCATCTCTCCCCATGAGCTTACGGCCTGCGGACCATCCATCGGTTCCTCTCTGGGTTGAGCAGAGAGGCATGGGTCTGACTTCCCAGCTACTGCCACGCGGAGTCTCCGCTCTCGGGTTTTAACCGAGAATGTCGCGCAGTGAGGACAGCCCTTGGGGTTGGACAGAGCTGCCTGAGCGTGTTTAGCGCCCAAACAGGAGATGCAGAGGCCGTGTGAATCCTTCGCAGAAATCCACATTCCACAAGCACACAGATGGGGAGGACGACCTTTTCCTCCGGGGCTCTCAGGCTCTTTCGCAGTGGCCATGGAGCCTGTACTCTCTTCGTACGGTAAGCCCACCACAACATGACAACTAGTACGGAGCTGTGCTGCGATAGAGAGCTCTCCTTTTCCTTCTTTTTTTGGTGCATGGTGAGCTCCCCAAAAACTTGGAAAATAAATTGAAAACTCACCTTGACTCACCTAGCTATCTCACTCTAAGTGAAGTCACTCAACAAACATTAGGAATGTATTGCGTTTGGGACGTTACCTTGCGGCTCCATCTGTAAACTGTTAAGCAAATAATTCCCGAAGTCTGCTGAGAACAGCTTCCGAAAATCTTCCACGGGGAAGAGAGCGAGAATGACGAAACGGCAGGTAGCTGCAGTTTATATACAGGGAGGCGGGGACTCCCTGATCGCTGCAGCGATTGGTCTGCCGTGGTTGGCAGAAGTGGTGTTATTGGTGCTTCAATAAGCATCAGTCACGCCTGAGGTGTTCCCATAGTGAGATACCGAATAAATGTTAGAAAGAGAAACAGCTTTATGCTTCTCTCCAAAAACAGCCGAGCTCCTGGAGGCGTGCCGTGGGCGGAGCTAAAGAGTCTCGAGCGCGTTCATGTTGTTTACATTATATGCACTTACTAGAGTTGTGACGGTGAGGAAATCTTCCCACCGGTTAATCGAAGTGTGACAACACCAGTAATAGCGGTATCACTGGGGGGTGGGGGTTGTGTTCGTTGGGGTTTTCCCTCTTTTCCTCGCTTTCTTTCACTTTTAAATAGCTTAAAAATGCCTGTGCACGTTTTACTTTCACTTTCAAATTAGCGACAATTACGCATAAATTGGACAACAACAAAACAGTACGACAAAGTCACTTATGTTTAACATAGAACTTTTATTAACAAAACAAATAAAAATACACCAAAATAATAAATAAATAAAATGAATAAGAAAGTTGGAGGCATGTTTCGTTTAAAGTTTAAGAAAGTAAAAATCCGTAAACACTGTGGAACCAAATAAATAAGAAACGAATATTAAAAAGAAAATCCAAAATCACCTTAGATAAACAGCAAAAGTCAAAAGGCTTTTCAAAATCAAAAATATCGGCAAACGCTTTTGCATTTCGTTTCGAAAACTAAATCTTCCGCCATCGTCTTGTCTGTCTTACCTCACTCTTGTCAGTCAGCTGGACTCCTCACGTGATAAATGAAATCTGACTCCTGCTGCTAATCTGTGATGCGACTGTCGTTCAGCACGCTGCATTCAGTTTTTAATTATAGTGTCTGTTCTCTAACTGAATGAAGTGATTTTTATTACTATAAAAAATCAAAACGATGGTGGCGGGCGGTGCCGCGGTGGGGAAGTGACGTATTGTTGCGCCTTATACGGTATCACCATCAACACCGACTATCGCAGCAAGCCTAGCACTTACGCGCCGATTGCCAACAAAACACAGAAATTTGATGCAACTTACCACCTGCGGTTCCGATTCGTGACCGGAATCTTTTAGCTCCATCTTTCAGTATCAAACGATCTGCAAATCCAGCGTCGAACTGGGCCTTGTTTATAAAACATTCGTCACTGAAACAAGGGAACAAAAAACACACGTTGCAACTCCGTTGCTGCCCCGGTAAAATAATCTGCATCCACTGTTCCCATAACGCTGGATTCTTTGGGAAGCTGAACAAGGTTATCTTTCCCTCACAACCAAAAACACACTTCTTGGAAGACATTCTTCTCAAGCAAGTCCTGTGCACCGCTATTGACAACTTCCGTAACCCGAATGAAGCACGTTGATGGGCTGCTCTTGCTCGTGCACAAGGGATTCTAGTGATGTTATGCTCGACACAGAAGCTCCGAAGCTTGTATAAAAAAAACAACAACAACACATTTCACATCAAAGCACTGTATCGGAGCTTGATCCGTTTTGCCAAATTTTAATTTATGAATTTATGTTTATAAAGCCACATTTATGTTACTTATTTTAGTGCCAGTACACTGACACAAATTAATGACTTTGACAATGGCCATTATATACAATAAAACAAAAAATCAGTTGTGGAACCAGATGTGAAACCAGCGGCTGTATTGGAACACAGCAGTTTGGAAGGTGCTATTCATTTTTATGACCACTAGATGGCCACAACATAAATTGTGTTGAAAAGCTTCGAGTAATGAACCTTTTTCCGATAGTCCAATTTGGAGTAGACATCACAGTTACGTCACATGCAGCTGTGCGCGCGCATTGTGGTGGCAGAAAAACACTGGGAACAAGTAGAGGGAAATGGGTAAAATCCATGGAATAAGAGAAAAAAATTTATTGTTGTGCCTTTGGATATCAGAATCGGAATGCAAATAATTTGTATAGAATACTGCCGTCAAAGACGCCATTTGAAGCTAAACGCAGACATTTAAACGGACAGACTATGGATGAAAACTGCTATGATTACCCTAATTTTAAAGCATAAATTTGATTTAAAGAATAGGTCTACATAATATTCACATATGCAGTTCATAGGGGACATATTGTATTAACTTAACCCTATACAGTTGCAGCATGAAATATTATTTAAACCTATTACTATTAACATTTTACATAACATTTATATATTTTATCTCACAATTCTGACTTTTTCTCGCAAATGCAAGTTTATATCTCCTAATTCGGACTTTACTCGATTTAACTCAAAAATAGTGAGTTTGTCAATTCTGAGAGAAAAAAGCCAGAAGTGTGGGATATATATTCTGATCTGAGGGGAAAAGAGAGAATGACGAGTTGTTTTTCCTTATCAGTATTGTGAGATATAATCTCGGAATTACGAGAATAAAGTCAGATTTTTTAAATATAAAATCAAATTGACCTTTTTTTAAATTATTTTATTCTTCTCTAGTAAAGGCTATCTCTCCCGGGTTTTCTGCAACCATGATGTGCGCGCACCCTGAATGTTTACAAACCTATAATTAGCCTATACAATTGTGTTGGTTGAAAGCTTCACTGTTTCAGAACGCTTCACTTCGCCATCACTAAGGAATTCCGCCCTTCATGACGTCATGAAGGGCCATACTCGATAAAAACATTCCGACCCGGGTTCAATTTGCATCAGAGCTCGGTACGTTTGGATGATGTGAACGCTGTCTTCCGAACTCGGGTGCGCACCGGCAAACCATACCCGAGTCCGCATAAAAGACTGCGGTCAAGCCAGCCGCGGTTCAGAAAAACACGGTCAAGCCAGCCGCGATTGAAATTAGTGTGCGCGCAGAATGCGCTTTCAGAGCGCTTTTCAGATGCCCAGAATTGAGAGATAATAGAACAAGATGACATTTCTCGAGATTTTTTGTACTTCTGTTTAATATCTGTGTTATTTATTGGTGTCGTTGACGGTTGTGTTACTATATTTTTCTTTAAAGATCACCTTTCAAATCATTGTTTTATGTAGATGAATTACAGCAGGATTAGTAGAAAACAGACAAAATAAAATATTTAGTTCTTCTAAATACATGAATTGCTTTTTCATTAGTTTTACTGTACAAGAGTGACAGTTAGCCTACTCTTGAATGCATTTTTATATAATGAGGTTTAACGTCTGCTCAGAAACTGAACTCCAATAACAGAATAAGTTCACAATGGAAAAAAAATCATTAGTTAATGTTAAATAATATGCCTTTATTTTACTCCACAGGCCTATAAAGAACTAATTTCTAAGTATAAAACACAATGGTCAGTTTTTATAAGGGACGTCCCATTCAATATGCACACCTCATATGAAAACTATTTATTTAACTGTTTTGGAGAAATATGCCATTATTACACTTTAGAGGGCTATAAAGATCCCATTTCTAATAATAAGAAGAAATGAATGGTCAGTTCTTATAGGGGGCATCCCATGCTATATACATACCTCAGCGTTCTCAAGATATGGGACATTATTACAATTTAGAAGGCTATAAAGACCTCATTTCTAATAAGTAGAGCAAAGCAATGATCAGTTCATATATAAGACATCCCGTACTGTTCATCTACTGTTAAAATTAAAAAGAAAACAGATGTGATTATTCCTTTAAAAATAAAGATTTATTAATATTTATTAGCAGTAGTAGCATTGAGTCTTAAGACTGCTAAATAGTAATATATTCTGACAGTAGAACGTTAAACTAAACTTTTATTTTGATGGGTTGCCGAAGAACTTGCAGCTGCTATGTGTGATATGACGGTAGTTTTCTCAAATGAAACGGTAAATGCTAATGAAGTGACTCTCAGAGCAGCTGGAGATGACATTCGTGTTCATATCATCATATAGTGAGACGGCAGAAGCTGAAAACACCGCGAGCATCATCCGCGCTTTAGTATGGGTGTAGTAAACAAAAAAAGTGCGCCGCACCATCCGCCATTCATTCATTGCGGAAATCATGGCGCCTTATGCGTGATATCAAATGCTTCCGCAGATTTATAGTATTACTA